GGAAAAGATTTTAAAGAACCGATTTTTGAGTCAAACGCCTTTCATCACAGACAGGGGGACATTAAGGAAATGCCTAAAGTAAGCAGAATGTTAAAGCTGTAGTTCGTTGGGGTTCCCCCCCCCGCAAAAGTATTTTTCTCAAATATCTTGGGAACATATTTCTTTTTTAACTTATCAAAATAAACCAACTTTACTCTTTCTTCTTCAGAGCCAGGAGTGTCCTTTTCATTTAACACAAGCTTTACGTATAAATAAAATGGGCAAGCACTTGGTTAGAGAGTTGATTAAGAAAGGTGGAGAGAAGCAGACACACATGCACTCAGAACACGTAAGTACACATACAGAGGGAAATAAACCATGTTTTAGGTTTTGCTTAGTGGCAGCCCCAGAAGAACTGAAAGGTCCTAAAAATCAGGTGAGATTATTTAACTATAGTCCTATTATTTATACTATATACAGCATATTAATCTGCTCGGGCTACTAGAACAAAATACTGCAGACTGAGTGGCTTACACGACAATTTATTTCTCCAGTTCTGGAAGCTGGAAGTCCAAGGTCAAGGTGCCAGCAGCGTCGGTGGCAGTGAGGCTTCTCTTCCTGGCTTGAGATGGTCACCTTTCCACCATGTCCTGCATGGTATTCCCTCTGTGCATGCAGAGACGAAGACATCTTTGATGTTTCTGCCTTTTCTTATGAGTCCTATTGAATCAGAGCCCCGACTTTATGACTACATGTAACCTTCACTGACTCCTTAAAGGCTCTTTCTCCAAATATGGACATGTTGGGGGTTAGGGTTCCAACATGTGAATTTGGGGGGGGATGTAATTCAGTCCAAAGCATGCATATATATACACATATTAATTTCTATACACATTTGTTGAATCCTTGTTATGTATATATGTGTATATATATGTATGTACATATATGTATATGTATATATATGTATATATATATTTATTTGCTGGATATGTAACAAGGATTTGCTGAATCCTTGTTTTATATATATATGTATATATACACATTACATATATGTATATGTATGTATACATATATATGTATACACATATAATATATATGTATTATATATATTATATATATAATAATATATATTACATATTATATATGTGATATATACATATTGTATATATTACATATTATATATGTAATACATATATATACATATTATATATGTATATATAATATATATGTATATGTATATATATAATATATAAATACATATTATATATGTAATACATATATATACATATACATATACATATATTACATATTACATATTACATATACATACATATACATATATATTACATACATATATATGTATATAATGTATATGTATACATACATATATGTATATGTATGTATACATATACATATATATTATATATACATATACATATGTATATATAACAAGGATTCAGCAAATGTGTACAGAAATTAATTTGGGACTAATACATTATAGATGGCAATTATGATTTATATCATCATGTCAATTTCCAATGGAAAAATTTCCAATCTCCATTAAAAAATATTTCCACAAAATACAGACTTCAGTTACAAAGTCAAGGGCTCAGAGAAGCGATGCTATCTTTATACTTTAACAAACTTGGTCAATATTTTTCCTTATAGTTTTATTCACAGAATTTGTGAATGAGGCTAGTATGTGATTTTCATCTTCTGTTAGGTCCATTCTGATTGTTCACTTTAAATATAATGTATTTTTTAAAAGGCAATAGCATTGACATTCCAGGCCCCTCCTCTGGAGAAAAGAGGCACTTCTAAGTTTAGAAGTGAGAGGCCCCAAGAAAGGATAAAAGCCTGGCTCAGTCTATGTGAAATGAAAATGTTCTGTCAATAATAATCAATTTTAAAAATGGCACCACATACTGAGGAAAAAGAGCTGACCACACTTGAAAGACTGAAAATGCAGAAAATTAACCAGGGAGGAAACAGAAAAATATTTCTCCTTCGTAATAGTCAAGAAGACACAGTTTATATCCTATTTCTCGCTTGAAATACGAATTCAAAATGCAAGCAGCTCGTCAGTGAAAGCGATACTCTCCTATATTGTCACAGTGGCTGCAAATCAGAGCTCTGACTTTGGAAAATACGATGAGAAAATATATCAGGGCTTTAAAGTTTCACCCCCATCTATCAGGTTGTGCTAATTCTGAGAAGAAATTAGAAGTAAAACTATAAATACTGTGTCAAAGCCTGAATCGTGACCCCCCCAAAGATATCACATCCCAATGGCAGGAACTCGTAATCATTGCCTTACGTGGTAAAGATTTTGCAGCTGTGAGCAAGGGATCATGAGATCGGGGGATCATCTGGGAAAGTCCAGCAGGTCCCAAGCCTGCTCGTAAGCGTCTTTCTGAGAGGGCGGCAGAGGGAGACACGCAAGCACGCACGTACGTACGTAAGTGCATGCACACGCACGCACACCCGGAAGTGATACGGCGTCAAGGCAGGGAGAGATTCAAAGGTGTTCGCCGTGAAAACCAGTGATGCGACAATTCCCCGGGAATGCTGGCTGGCAGACAGCACAAGCTGGGAGAGGGAAGGTAGGGATCCTCTCTCGGAACCTTCAGATGGAGCTCTTCTCTGCCAGCACCTCCGCTCTGGCCCAGTGATACTGCTTTCGGATCCCTGACCCCCAGAACAGTGAGAGGATAAATGTCTATCGTTTTCAGCCAACAAGGTTGTGGTACTTTGTTACACAGAAAGCTAGTACATGCGGATAAAACAAACAAACAAAAAACTTTGTTGCAGTGTCATTTGTAAAAGTAAGAAAAAAAAAATCAAGCAGTTCCAATTCAAAAAGTATGGATATGATTAAATTAGCCAGGATACATTTATGCAATTGGATATTATTCTGTTTTTTAAGTATTTATTTTGAGAGAGAGAGAGAGAGAGAGAGAGAGAAAAAAAATGTGAGTGGGGGAGGGGCAAAAGAGGGCAGAGGGGAGAATCCTAAGCAGGGTTTGAACTTACCATGAGATCATGACCTGAGCCCAAATCCAAAGTCGGGCGCTTAACCGACTGAGCCACCCAGGCGCCCCTGGGATATTGTTCTACTTTTAAGAGAAATATATGTAATTTTAGATAAAATGTCAGTGAAGTTTCCAAAATTAGTCATAAAATGGGCAAAATTTATGTAATCGTTATCATGTCTAAAAAACAAATAAAACACCTTTTATTTTTGATTGATTGAGCTCTTAACAAGGTGGAAATTAACCACGGGCTAGTATGACCCCCTCTGACTTAATCCTGGGGATACCGCAGAAATTAAAGGAAAGTGCACGAGTCTGCAAATCGTTGAGAAAAGCACGGGGTAAGGGAAATGTCAAGTAAGTGACACTTGTCGCCTACCGCCAGGAGCAGCAGTTCCAGGATGGCAACCCACTGCATGCATGGTTCACAGGTGTCAGGGATGTCAGGAAAGGTACGACTCACGCAGGGCACTGGATGGAACAATGCTTTACTCACATAGAGCAAGATAGAGTACGATCAGCGTCAGGGGTGAGCAGAGGTCACTGATGGCCAGTGGGTCTCATCCCACAGCCACAGCAGGGAGATGGTCTTCACATACTCTTCTACTGCATGTGAAGGATCATGTTCCCGCCCTGCCAGGAGCAGATAAAGCAGCGAGTTGGACAGCGAGGTGTCATATGATGCACACACCTAAGCAGAACAAAGAAAGGCGAGCCCAGAACAGAGGAAGGTATTTCCAAACAAGGTCACATGCACAGCATGGGGGATGAGGGCTCCCTATTTCCCTGTAAGGAAATGTTCTCCTCTATTCTTCTCAGCTCTGTAGCTAACAACCATGCATATTGATACATTTAGACAGAAATGTTTTGATATCCGCAATGGCCTTTGAAATGATCTCAACATATGATAGTTTAATGGATGGATAGAAGAATGAATAGATGGACAGAAAGTACTAATGGCTGAGTCTAAATAACAGGTGTAAGGATGCTCAGTGTAAAATTCTTAACAACTTTGCTCTCAGTATCGTTTGAAATCCTTTACAATTAAATGTTGAGTGAGAAAAGTAGGAAAGAGAATACATTTTGAGCCGCAGTTTTATTTATGTATACAGTTGACCCTTGAACAAGGTAGAGGGAGGGGTTCGTTGAAAATTCACATATGACTTTTGACTCCCCGATTAGTTAACTACTAATAGCCTATTGGTGACTGGAAGCTTTACTGACAACATAAATGGTTGATTAACACATACTTGGTATGTTATGTGAATTATTAGAATAAGGTAAACTAGACAAATGTCATTAGGAAAATCTTAAAGAAGAGAAAATATATTTACAGTATTTGTCAAAAAAATAATCTGTGTATAAATGGACACGTGTGGTTCAAACTGCTGTTGTTCAAGGATCAGCTGTATTAAAAACACACACAAAAAAAACATGTCCTATTATGCTGCAATATGAAAGAACTTATGTGAAACAACAGAGGTGAGTGGAGATGATACGTGGAAAAAACATGGATTTGTTTATAAAGATTGTAGGTGACGAAGGCCAAAGAACTGAGGAGTGTAATAGGGTCAGCTCTCTGTGCTGAGGTCCCAAATAACAAATATTGTTTTGAAAGCCAGTGAGAGAGAATGATGTGTAAAGCAGACATCACATGCTCCCTTGCATATTATGTAACCAAGTCACATGTGAGAAAGGGTGGTTGATCCACACTAGTTGGACGTAAAGTGACTGTCTGCATTTTGTTATCAACTCTTATATTCCAGGAACCAGCCGTCTCCATAATGATTCACTTCTGGGTCTACATGAAAATATTGAAATCTCTTTGTATGTTCCATATTAAATAGTATTACAAAATGACATGTGGCTCCTCTGAGGAAGCCAGAATACCAGTATTTAGTCCTGACATTGTTGTGTGACTTTTGTACGATGACTTTAACACCTGGTTCTGAAATGGCCTTGTGTGTCGATAGGACTGAATACTTTCTCAAAATCTTTTTTCTAGCTGCATCATTTTCTGGGGAGATGTTAGAATGGAGTAGGCACCAAAGCTCTGAAGTCAGGTGGTTTCTAATTCCAATTCTGCAACACGCTGGTGATATAACCATGGGCACGTTTCTTGATTTCACGGAGCGTGTTTCCTCATCTGTAAAATGGAAAGAAATCAGGCCAGAATCAACGTGAGGATAAAATAACAGAACAGGTAAGGCACGTGGCATTAGATTCCTTATATAATACATTGTCAACAGTTGCTTTTGCTGATAAAAATTTCAATCTGGTTTTTCTTTGTGAATAGTTTTCCCAGATCATCAAACACTCATATTAGCCTTTTAACTTAGGCCTGATTTGAACACGCCTTGGAGATACTCGCTAAGTGCTTGGTATTAGCAGTTCATTAGACATAATTTTTCTCCTGCTCCATATAAGTGGAACCCTTGTTCTGATTCACCTGACAGATGCTGAACTCCCAAAGAGAAGCTTGTTAAACATCCAGCCGACTGGAGAGCACTTTTTTTTTTTTTTTTTAGTCCAACTGCAAATGTACCAACCAAATAAGCATTTGTTTAACAAGGAACTCAAAGCATTTGTTAGTAGTTACTGTCACCGGAGTCCTGGAACAGTCTTTCTGCCAAAACTAACTCAGTCTGTCCCAAACTCCTGCTCAATCCTCCCACGCTTCCTTTGCCCTTATTTTTTTTTCTTTAACATTTTTCTTAATTTAGCTTTAAAATGCAAGAACCGTTTTATCAATGGTGAGCTTTATGTAGTTTTTTTATTTTTCCCTCCCCCCCACCCCCTCTCCTGGTGTTGGTGGAGTGCTGACTGGAGACTGACAGCTAGGTGGTGGAAGCCAAAACTTTTTTGTTATATTTTGGATTCTGTTATTAAGTAGCTAAGTAGACCTTAGTCTATCACTCATCCTATGTGGGTTTAAAGATCTCTATACCCATCTTTGAACAGCAGGTCCATTGTGATCATGCCCTGAAAAAAGAGTCTTTGTTTCTGAACTGACACTTTGGTGCAAAATATAGGGGTCATATTCATATCCATTTCTCCCTGCCCTTGCAGCTTTGTAAGTCACAGTTGATGAAGGCACAACATTCTGTGATCTGATGTAATTCACCATGAAACCGCTATCCATTTTTGACACTTAAGCTCTGCTTGCCAATTTGCAAGTCGGCTTACAGACTGTCCAACCGTGGGGTCAAGCAATTATTCTATGGGCCATTGTGAATTCTCTGATGTGGTTGCTCTCTATGTGATTTGATTAAGAGGGTGGCCTGAGGCCATATACATACACTTCTTAGCAATGAACAATTAGGTAGAGAAGGTTTGAGCATAAATGCTGTGATTTTAAGGACCTGGGACAGTCTTTCTGCCCTTGTCTTTCTACCTCTCTAAATGTTGATACTCCAAATCGGGTTAACAGGTAGAAAAAAGTATTTCATTCCATGGTTAGAGGTTAGTATTTAAAAGCAAATGCCTGGGGTTAACTGGTACCATTTAGCTGTTATTTCTTGTGCGGGGTTGGATATTCTCTCTCTCTCTCTCTCTCTCTCTCTCTCTCTCTCTCTCTCTCACACACACACACACACACACACACACACACACACACACACACACACACACAGCTAAATCATATCACTTCTGGAACCTCAGAACATCACTTTATTTGGAAATAGGTTAATTGAAGTTGTAATTAAGTAAGATGAGATCATACTGAGATAAAGTGGACCCTTAATCCAGTATGACTGGTGTCCTTTTAAGAAGAGATACAGAAGCATATAGGGAAAATGCCATGTGACAACAGAGATAGCATTATGGGCAACAATTGAAGCTAAGAGAAAGACATGGAAAAGAGTCTCCCCTGAAGGCTTCAGTCAGGGCGGGGCCGTACTGACACCTTGATTTAGGACTTCTGGCCCCCAGAACTGTGAGACAGTACATTTCTGTTGTTTTAAATTCACCTCGTGGTGATTTCCTACGGTAGCCCTAATATGCTAATGCAGTATTTTATGTATTGGAAGGAGTAACATAAGTACCCTGAACCCTAAGGTGAAGGAGCATAGGAAAATAGATGAACATAGTCAAAAGTAGCCCTTTATCCCATTACGTCGTAGCTTACCAAAACCTTTTAGAACTGGAGACATTGTCCATGCAAATTCTAAGAATGAGATCCAGGCTTTCCCCTTCCTTACCTTTCTATCATCTCTGCTTCTTCCCCCTTTTCGTGTGGACTCCATAATCTTCATCCATACACTGTTGAGGTCCTTATATGCCATGTTTTTGAAACTACTTAATTTCTGTCTCTGTAGTTCTTTGAGCTATCAAAAATAATTTTTCCTATGGTCTCGTTGATCAGCGAAATGCTGCAAAACAAAATAATACCTCTCTTCATAAATTGCCTTTCTTCAGTCATTGGCTATAAAAGGACAGCTGAAGTTACCATACATGTGACATTTTGAAGAAACCATTGTTAGTGGCCCTTTTGATGTAGACAATTTTAGAAACCTAAAAATTAAAGCTTTGCTTAATTGGTCTTTAAGATATCTCAATTTGCACAGCATGTAAGCTCGTCTCTATCCTGAATCTTCTCCACATCCTGATTTCCCTTAACCAGAGGTGATCCTCAGCCAGACAGTAAAATGGGATTGGACTCAGGATGTTAGGGATGATGCTCCTGTTGGGTGTCTGTCAGGGATACAGTCAGACAGATTCCGAGATCAGATAAGGCATCAGAGATGAGATGAGGTGAAAGAACATCGGCCCTGTGTTTCGGCTTTGCATACTTTGAAGTATTCTCATCAAGCACACAGATTATATTCTCTTTGTTAACACAACCGCACTGTTCTTTAATGGGGAAGAAAAAAAGAAGGTTTTCATTTGATGTAAAAAAAAAAAAAAAAAAAGCCTTATTCTTCCCATCTTACTTGATGTATACTATTCAAGTTTTTGTTTGTTTGTTTGTTTTCCTTTCTATTTATTTGGCCTGTGTTTTCAAGTTACTATTTATTCTTTGTTCTTTTATTTACTAACTTCCTTTTCTGATAATTCAAAGCAAGCACACATTCCTTTACTGTTATATGAAAACAGATGCCTTCTATCCCTTTTAGTAAAAATGTTGTATTGTTCCTCCTACTGGTCTCTCCCTCCTCATTAACATAAAACTTTAAGATATTTTTACTTGCCCCATCTTCCCTCCCCACTCCTCAGCCCCTATGTGTTGAAATGATCTAAACCATATGAAATTACCAATATCTGGGCTTTTTAAAAACTGGAAATTGTGTATGGATTAACATGTATTTATGTTCTGGTCCCATAGTAAGTATTCCTTCATAGCTCATTTATTCTCCATCCTGCCCTGTATTGAGCTCTTTGTCCCTAATGATATTTTGGATAATTAGAGTTCGTTCTTAAATATTTTCTTCACATCGGATGTGTGGGTCATACATGGCATGAATCTTGATAAGTACTGTATTTTCTTCCACCCTGGCAGGTAAATGATACCTTGGTTTGATGTCTGGGTGATAGTTCTTGGGTTTTTTTTGTTGTTTGTTTGTTTGTTTCTTTTGTTTTCCTTCAGACTTTCTCTAGAAGATTTTTAAATTATTTTGTTTTGTTTTTAATTATTGAAATTTAGAAAATGTATAGGGATCTACATAGAGCTTTGTTTGTTTTTGCATTTTTGAAATGAAAAAGACCTTCTAATCAATGTGTTCCATTTCCAGTTTAGATATTTTCCCCCACATTTGTTTGGGAATAACCTGTCTTCAGTTTATCCTGTTTTTTCCACCTTCTATTTCTGGTTCAGTTCCAATTCATTGGAGGTCCCCTATGTCTGTCTTCTTAGTCTTTTGCTTTTTACTCCATGATTTCTATCTTGTTTTAAATTTTGGATTTGTTACAAGTTGTATATATCCACACATAAATACACACACATACACATATATGTACATAATTTGATATTTTATATTATTTGATATTATATATATAATATTTGATATTATATATTATATATATATAATTTGATATTCCAAGCCACTAGTAGATCTTAAACTGAGCACTTTCCATTCTGTTTATCTACTTAATTCTATATTTTAAAAATACTGTGCATTTAGCTTCAGAAAGACTTTTGGAGTTATAATGGAACCACTTTATTTTCATTTTGTAATGTTCTTTTTTGTTTCTGTTGTTGTTTTGTCGTGTGTACCTTAAATAGTTTATTTTTGCCACAGAGAACAGATTCTTTTTAACTTTTGCTAAATTGTCATCTCTCCTGCTGCTGGATCCCCATAGCAACATTTAAATGCTCTTTCACTGCCTCCTTGAGGATCAGCCATGCTTGCTACCTTTCGGGGGGAAGGAAGGTGACCCTGGGCCAATGTTGGACAACCTCGACTTGAGTTCCCAGGTCTCTTGACTTGAGGCACCAGGAAGGGCTTGTCTGTGTCTCAGCTCCAAGCAATAGTGCTATCAACATCGGTCTACCTGACATGTTTCCCTACAACTTCTAAAGGCAGGGATGTCAGTGGCTTCTCCACCATGGGGTGGTCATTCCTTTCCTACAGGAGTTTACAAATCCCAAGAAGCCAAGCTCTTTCTGGGATCCACCCTCTTATATTTGCATCAACGTTCTCTGGCAAAAGTCCTCAAACTCTCTTCCTGTGCAGTGGAGGAAAGTCTTACATTAACTCTCTGGTCTGAACACTAGCCAGTGCCATGTTCTATTCAAAGTCTCCCAGCCTTGTCTGCCCACCCTTTCCAGCATCTATGTGGCAGGACAGAGAACCAATGGTTGGAGAGGAATTAGGAATGGGGGCTGCAGAGAAAAGGTCAAGTCCCTGATTTTCTTAGAATTCATGCTATTGTTTTTGTACCAAATGTTTCTGACATGTAAACCCATTTAATTGACCACTCTCCAATATATTTTCTTAGGTAAGGGACTAATTATTAGTACAAATATATTTCCCTGTGCTACATGGTTGCCTCTCTGAGGACAGAAACAAACTAATTCTTTTCTTTTTTTTTTCTTGTATGTATCATGGTCAAGTGACCATTATGAGTTTAATCCAGATGTTTAATAAATACTGTTTGATTTGATAAGATCATTTTATAATACCAGAAACGACATACACGCAAAGTTAAAAGGGCATTAAAAGAAGAATGTTACTTCTGTATTGTTCGGACATTTTACAATAAGCA